TAAAGCTCGCACTGATACGTTGCTTTCTCTGCTGGTTGTGTAACCAGAGACCACGAGTTTACAGTGTGAGCGCGGTCGGGATCTCTTGCAGCAGAGCGGTGCCACACGGCCTCTCTGTGGCTATCTCCTGGGCCTGGCTGTGTCAGAGAACCTGAACTTCGGATTTGCTTTGTCATCCTGACTCTAGCCCTTGCTACTTTCAATTTCTCTTTAGTTTCTGGAAACTTCCTCGTAAATCCCTAGTGGGAAGGCCAAGAGGTGTCCAAACAAACAAAAGAGCTCACCCCGAACAAAACCTGCTTGTTCACCAAAATGGTGAGAGCAGGAGGGGAGGGTTTGTGATACCTGATCGCAGAAGAGTGGCAAATCTGTTTTTCAGCAGGTATTCTTCTTCAGTTAGTTTTTAACTAAATGCTGCAGTGGACTGGAGTTGTTTCCCAATGGCAAAGCAAGCAATGAAATATGACACAGGGAGAGGAAGAGAGTTGGCAGAGGGCCTATGTGCACAAATAGCCCACTACCTTTTGAAGAATATTTACAGTCGAGCAAACAAAAAAACAGTACAGGCTGCCTCACACAAAATTGCAGTAGAAATCTTCCCCCTTGCAACTTTAATGTTTGTTTTCTTCTTAGTATAAATAAAATATTGTCACTACTGGTCCCAGAATCATAACACACAAGATGTTGTGGGATGTTTGAAAATAGATTTATGTAGCGGTGAATTAGGAAAGGAAAGAGGAACATTGCTATCTTTTGTCGCTCTTGTAATACCTTTTGACTTGGACGGCTGTAACACAGGGAAGAAATTTTAGTGAAAACTGAACTCTAGATTGTAGTGTTAACTGGTTGAGTGAACAGGAGTCTCTGGCACGGCCCTGTTGTGAGTTATGTAAATCTTGTGCCGTGTATAAGCAACAGGCGGTTGGTGACGTAAAACTGAGCATTTGTCTCTATTTATTGGCTAATGTGACATGCACCCTTCCTGTAGCATTTGACTGAGCTGGCTGTATTAAATATAGCCCTGACACTCCTAGAAAATGCCTAGAGCTGAATAACGTCTTCTGGTCTGAAATTCATTGTTCTAAAGGTGAAAATCTTACGTGGTGGCTCTTGGGTTTTACCTTAGTATCAAAGTCCATTCTGTGATAATGGCAAAAGGTCTTGCTGTAAGTCTTAATTTGCCGAATTTGGCAGTTGTGCTAGCCAAGTTGTGTAGAGCCTTCCTAAAGTGCCTCCTAATGCACTGGATATGTTTTGGAAGACTTATCAGGATGTCAGTGACTCTTGCAGTTAAGGCAGCGTGATTATCTTCTGTTGGTGGTCGTGGATTACCAGACTGATGCATCTGTTGTTTAGGTCCTCTTCCCCCAATTCCGGGTGGCTCTCAGATGTACCTGATAGTGCTGTTAACCCCTTTGACCTGAGCTCCAGTTCTAATAGCTACTCTTTGGGTCTCCTATATTTTTTGCGAGGAGAAATCAGTGGTATTTCTCCCAGGCAGTTCTGTTTTTACACAGGATGTGTCTGAATATTTTTCCTTGAACACTGCAGGGATTGAACAGGAGGCAGTTGCTTTGCTCACCGTTCCAAGCCCCTTTCCAGCTGGCAAGCTATCCAAAAAGCCCTATGTTTGCTCTTTCTCAGGGTCATGCTGCAAATGTTTCTCTTGATTCACCTTGGCTTTTTTGGCTTCAGCTTAGACACAGGACACTCCACCAAACAATACTAACCCTCAATAAATCCTCTTACCCCTGTAGTCCAGCATGTGGCAGGTCTTCTACCTGGCTTTGCTGTAGGTGCTGATTCCTAGTTCTTTTTTTTCTTTTTTCTTCCCTATCTTGCTCAAAAAGGGAGCATAACTATTTAGTAAAGAATAAGAAGCAGTTGTTATGCCCATTGATTCTGGTGAGATATTATTCATCTCTATTCTTATGGCACCTACTCACAGCATGTAAATTTAGGGCCACAACCTCACAGATATGCGTAAGCAGAGGAGTTGCATGACATGCCAAAACGCTTACATAATAATTTAATAGTATATCGTGGAACAGCAGCTAAGACTCATGAATCTGCTTCCTGTTTGACTGCTCTTTTCAAATTAATTATCAGTGAGTTTCAGCTATCCCATGTCTCAGGAATCACTAGCGTTTGTGGCTCTCTGAATAACTTAAACGTATCGCAGGCTTCTACTATCGTTTGTCTTCGTTCAATAAGAACTTTTGTCTGAGATGGTTTTTAAGTTTCTTCAAGCTGTGACTATCTAGAGCTGAGCGGCACTTAATGGTTAACAATAGTCATAGAGTACCCATGGCTCTCATATGACCATATGCTTCAAAAGCAGCAGGGCTTGAGTTATTATCCATAGCTACTGATGCACCTTTGGCCTTGAGAGTTATCGTGTGTTCTCTGTGTTTTGTTCGTCCTGTGCTCCCTTGGACCTTTCGTGCCAAAATAAAACAAAAAGATTCAGTTTACTTGAAGTTATCTTTAGGAAACAAGGCCTGTATAAAGAAACAGCCCTGTTGTTTACGTACTGCTGCATTAGCTGTTCCCTCAATGTCTCTTGACCTTCTTGGCAAACTTCAAAAGGAGTTAATAGGCTAGAAGCCTCAAAAACTGAAATATAAGATTTTCAGTGCAAAAAGGAAGCTGAGTAGGAAAGTGGTCCAAAATAGCATCCCTACCAAGTAAAAGATTGGTTTGAGCTCAGTTACCTTGGAGGATCCACACGCGATAGAGACAATCGCTTTAGGAAGATGTGAGCAGCAGGTGTAATATCATATGAATGACATTTTTGCTTGCCTGTCTAGGACAAATACATAAACCTGTGAAAAGGACCCTGACCCACCTGTCCTTAAGGCTCTGTTTGCTTGCTTGCTTGTTTGCTTGTTTGTTTGTTTATTCATTTATTTATTTATTTGCTTTCTAGGAATCTTCAGGCTGCCATTGGAGCCTATTATGATTTTGAGAGCCCAAATATCAATGTACCCTCCATGTCCTTTGTTGAAGATGTCACCATAGGAGAAGGAGAGTCCATCCCTCCTGACACCCAATTTACAAAAACATGGAGGATACAAAACACAGGTAAGTCTTTTAGACTTTAGCTAAATCCATGTAGTATATATAAGGTGATAAGGATGGCAGATGCAATTGAAGAGATGCTAGGTTAAGGCAGGAGGTTTGTATGCGCTTTAAGCTGGTGTTGAGCAGCCCTGAGAGGTAGACTCTTACTCTCTTACTGAGAGGTAGACTACCAGTCTATAAGGATTCCTCGTTTTATATCAGCACAAACTTTTTGTGTCTAGATGTACCGCTTGGTCAGTTCCCTAATGTCGTTCCTCATACTGTCACGTTAACAAAAACTCCAGGAAGTTTCTTTAGCAAGAGACAGGTAAAGAGAAAATGCGGTGCAAGTCAACTTTTTATGGAAACTGTTAAATCTGAGAATAGATTATGAATCCTTAACTAGTCACGTTTCTGACACAAACAAATGGAATAATTTAAGTCAGTGGAGAGATCCCTTTTAATCTCAAAATCTTTTAGCTCATGAGCAGCCTGTATATTATAACCACTCTTCGTCACACCGTTTTTCCGATTGTCCCCATCGTTTGGTAGTGGTGCTCTCTGTAGAACTGTGTTCTTTGTGGCAGAGGCAGTGATGCAATGATCTGTCTCTGAGCAGAAGAGATGACTGTGCAAGGGTAATGTGGCAGGTGCCCTTTACTTTTAATACACTTAAAACAGAAGTGCTTGTTGGTGTCTTGGGAGGACGCAAGGCTAGAGAAACCACATTCCAAAATGCGATAAGTCAAAACAGTGACTGGAATCCAGGAAGTGAGACTAAGCAAAATACATTCTCAGGATTTAATCTGTTGGGATGCTCTTAGAGGGGGAAAAAAATAAGATCCATGGATGCAAAGGGAAATACCTTGTCCTCAGGTGTTGCAATGACAGGATGTTGCATGAATATTTAACCTGTGCGTCTGAATTTAATTGAGCTGCTGGCACTTTTGTACAGAAGAATGATAGCACAACAAGGTTTAATATCGTGAAACATCACGAGTAAACTGCAGTTGAGTTAATATTTTTACTTGTAAATAACTGCGGTGCTTGAGTACGGTACAGATTTATGCTAAATGCCATAGTATAACAAACGCTAAAGCCATGTCAAAAAACGTAGGGTATTTGATCGGGACATCAGAGGTGAGAAGAGATGACTTCCTCTTCTCCCTCTCCCCTCCTTATGAACTCTTAATTTAAAAAGACTATATTCTGGTGAGCGAGCTTAATTATTTCTTTTCACTTTCTATTTAGTTGACTCAGTAAAATGGAAAGATGGTGGGTACAGCTTACTCAAGCTCCAGTAGTGTGCGAAATGGGCTGGCAAATATTTTAGAATTGTGCCTCAAATACAAGTCTTACAAACGTAGCAAATTTGACAGACCCTGCCTCTCCGCTAGTGGCATCTTAATTTGTGTGTAATGGTTACACCAGTTTTGCTCCTTTCAGTCTCCTTCCTCTCTTGGTCCTCCTGTCTTCTCTTTCCTGCACGCAAATCCAGCCTTAATTTAATATCCTAGTTTTAGCAATATTTCATTGTTCTTGAAATGTTTGACCTCCTGAAAGCCACCGATCTTCTAAAATGAAGAAAAGGAGTTAATCTCGACTTATGAGTTCCTGGCAAGGCCAAAATTTCTTTTGGCTTGTATGTGAGTTAAAGCCCAACTTCTTAAGAAGTACATCTGTAGCCCAACGTTGGTGCTGGGGGCCAAATCCTGTTAAAACCATGCTGTTGAGGCATGTTTTAGTTAAATCCAAATTCACGTACTGTGTTATGACTGTGCAGTTTAGGTGGGACCATAATATTTTAAAACCATTTCAAGGTTTAATTAAGGTATAATATCAAAGGACTGCAGTGTTTCCAGACAATATCTGCTTGTTAGGTAGATAACTGAAGTAAAGCCAAGGTTTTTAACAACTCTACAGGAACCCTTGATTAAATGACTTCAGTTCTAGAGCACAAAATACCTGAGGCATGTGTCACTGAAGCGTTTAGTGTCTGATGAGTATGGCAAGCAGAGCTTTTGAGAGATTGTCAATTTTAAGCATGCACGGAATAAGCTAGTTTCAATCGGGTTTTCGTATGTATTATTAAAAACTAATACCCCACTGTAATACCTTCCAGGACTCTGCTTGACTTGTCTGCCAAAAGACCAGTTTGTATAGTAGAACCATTGCTGAAAGAGCAGCAGGATTTAACAGACTTATTTCCTCTTCCCACTCTACCCCCAGCTGCTGCTGCTGGCTTTGCAGGACGGTTACTACAATATATCATCTCCTGAGATGCGTGTACTGAAATAGAATGACATAATCGTCATTTCATTTTATGGGGCTTATCAGTTGCAGCACTCTAGGCACCTTGCAAGCCTAAAGCCATTAAAACCGATAAAAATCACATAAATAATTTAAACTAAACCATGTTGCTGGGCTGCCAACCCTTTCAGATGAGACTTCATACTCAACTCCCACACACCATAGTGTGAGGTCAGTTAATCGCTCGGCTCCTCTTTCAGAAACCTCCCTATCTCGGTCCTGTTTTCAGCTGTAGCAATATCCCCCATGCCAAGTATCCCATGTTGTTTATTCATATCATGCTCTCTCTGCTAGTTTGTAAATTTCACGCGTAAGGACTTGACCAGAAAACCAGTCCCTGCTATGTCTTCCCTGAAGTATGCACTGGGATTAAATTATCAGGCGAGCTGTTGCAAAGGATGCTCTTTGAGGTAGCCTTAGGTCAGATCAGCATCCACTGTTCTTGCCTCAGAGTAGTAGTAGACTTAGTGATTCCAAGCTTCTTGGTGGTTCAGATTTTCCTTAAGTATTTCCACCAACCTTAGGTAGGCAGCGCTATTCCCAAAGTCATTGACTCAGTCCTGTAAAATCAGGGAATATGCAAAAGAAAATTCTGCTAAACTTTTTTTTCGTGAAGCTCCGAAAGCTTTCCTTTTTGTCTGTCCCAATACTTGTTATCTTTGCTGGATACTGCCGTGTTTGCACCTAGTAACTGTTTTTTTTTGTCTTCAGATAGCCAGGTCACGCTGTCAGTCCTAGCATCTGCAGTCTAAACATTGGTCTTGACAAATAAAGCATATGTTCATCATTTCACCATTGCATAAGGTTGGGAGAAGGGTTGGTGCAAGAAGGAGAAATAAATCCATTTAGAAAATAGTCCTAGCTCTTCAATTATAATTCAGACTATTAGTGTCTCCTGAGACTGCCAACAGACTGAAAAAGGAGTGACTCCCTGAAAAAATGTTTCCAGCACTTGATATTAATAGCATAGATTTTGAAATTGCAAGGCTCAGGAGGTGTAGGGAGGCAAAAAGAAATGAGGAAAAACTGGATCTGGACCTCATATTTGTCTCTAGCATTGCTAAAACATATGTGAATGTCAGTGGCATTGTTTTTTTTTTTTTTTTCTCCAGTTGTTACACAGTGTAACAGCTAGGACTTTGAGAATTTTCCTGTGTAAAGAAGAGCTAGAGATTATTTAAATAGAAATATGAGTTTGCCTACTGGTTGCACAGTGGACCAGTTATGTCTTGTCTGAGAAGTGTATTCTTCCACGTCCATTGCTGGCTTCCACATCCATTGCTGGTTACACACAGCTTGATATTCCTTTGACTGTTAACATTTGCACAAGTGTTTTAATAAGCATATTTTATCCCTTCTCATACAGGTGCAAAGCTTTTCCTGGTGCGCTGTCATTAATTCTTTCTTCTGCTTAATCCTAGGGACAGAGGCGTGGCCCCCGGGGGTTTGTCTGAAGTATGTTGGGGGAGACCAGTTTGGCCATGTAAACATGGTGATGGTCAGGTCCCTGGAGCCCCAGGAGATTGCAGACGTCAGCGTTCAGATGTGCAGCCCCAGCACGGCAGGAATGTATCAGGGACAGTGGCGCATGTGCACTGCCACAGGACTCTATTACGGAGGTGAGTGCTTCCCTTTCTGGCCCTTCAGGCTCTTCTTCGTGATACTCACATTGCAAGGCAAAATAGATGCTCCTGCTGGCCCCTTGCAGAGGCCCTCCTGATGCCTAAATGATAATTTAGCAGTACGCTTTCCTTGTGTGATTTATTGTAACGGCTGTTGACACGTTACTACCTTCTGTGAAGATACAGCTGAGCGAGATGGTCCTAGGTTTCCACTCTGTAAGTGTTGCGCTCTACAAACCTGATGGTCGGTGCAGAGGTCTTCCAGCTCTTGAGACTAAATGTAGAAAATAGAATAGAGAAAACATTAAGTGAGCTGCTTTGTTTTCTTGGTCAGCACAAGTTTGTTTTCTAAACTCTGGAACAAATTGCAGATTATACAAAGCTCCAGAGAATAAAGGGACTTGCATGGTTCTCCTTGAGATTCCTCCTCAGTCGGTCTTTGTTGGGATTCTTTCCGAGTTACCCAGCGCAGAACATGGTGAACTAAATACAGCCCTAAGAACTTTTCAGGTGGTGAAATCCCCATGTAAGAAGTTAGGTTAAGAAATGGCCCAAGTTCTAATACTTTAACCTGGTGCATTTACTGTAGAAAGTTTTTAGAACTCTGTTTAAAAATCACTGTGTGATGTTTTGTGTAGTGCCTCAGCCTGAACCCACCAACATCTTCGTTCATTTGGAGTATTGCAGTCATTTTTAGCCAGCTTTAGTTTATACTGACAACGTTTTTGTGACTGTTTTGGCAGCTGGGAGTATCCTTGGTACATGGGTTTGAATGAGAAATATTAACACTCTGAGTCAAAAATAACTCTGCTCAGAAGTACATGTTTCTTTGGCAGAATTGTCAGTATACATAAGACTCTTCTGTACTGGAAGTGGATGTAACTTGTCCCTTAAATAAGAGCGTAAATTCCTGCGCTCAGGTTGAAAGGGCAGTTCAGCTAGCACTGTCTGCCACGAGCCTGTGTGCGTATACAACCAGGGCTTTCACAGATGACAGCAAAGAAACAGTTTAAGACCTTACTAAACATCCTTAAGTTACACATTTTGAAAGAAAACATCTACAAGTTAAAATCTGTTTGGCTGCTGGGCTTGGCATTAAAGATACTGTTCCCCTGCGATGCAGTCACTTTTATGCTCCTTATTTCCCCGACTGAAGGTCCAACGTCTGCCTAAGGGCTCGGCAAGGGGCTCGGCTTAATTCAGGTTTTAGCCTTTTGCGGGGGGCG